AGGAGGAAGTGCTCGAACATCTGGAATTGGATGTCCTACAGTGTTTCCGACAACTGCTCAGTATTAGTCCCCAGAACAACCCGGTCAAATGCAGCAAGAACCAGACAGTCTGCACCAACTGCATTGCATTGCATTGAACTATTTAGTTAGCAGCATACACACCTCATGTAACAGTACTTAGGATTTGATAAAGTACTAGGATCACCACAACAATGTTGCCGTCACCGCCTAACGGCAATCGCACATAGGTATGGACAAGCATCGTACTACATTTTTACAAACATACACTTCACACACAACACAGAGCACAAATTAGACAGATACTGCTAAAATGCTGGGACTCAGAATAACAACACTAAGGCTGTTAATACAAGCTCAGACAGATATAGACACATCTGTACTATATACCTGCAGAGAAACATGGCACACACTACAGCACACACTACACATGTTTGAAATCCCTATGACTCTTCTGAAATTCTGTAAATTCTGTAAATTCTGTAAATTGGGTCCCAGAGGGATCTGTTCTATGTTGAGGCCGAGGGATTTTCCTCGGTGGAGACAGCATGAGACAGGGTACAGTGGGTATGGATTGGTTTGAGCTGTGACCAATGGAAGCGTACCCTTTTCATGATCTAATAAACTCAATGCGTCAAAAAAGATCTGATAATTTCGATACAGTTCAATACTTCAAAACCAGCCATCCGCTGCTTTACAATCTTGGCAGCACCTGGTCTTCTTCTTTATTTAGGATATAGCAATTCAGGGATTGTCGGACCTAGACTGATAACTGCTGAAGTTGCTTTGTTCTGTGCTTCTGGATTGCCGATGCCAGAACAACGCTGGCCGGAGCTGGGGCGTAGCCCTGTAACCTGCAATTGGCAGGGGTGGGAGGCCTTGTAGAGAGATCTGGGGTTTGCTGAGGGAGGAAAGCAAGCCAATGGTGAACCAGGGGGGGCTACCTTGACAACTTATGGGGTGGGGTTAGTCTGGGTAGTAAGGAGAGATCAGCTATGGCAGTGGGGGGATAGGTTTGTCTTGTTCCTGAGTTGCAATATCCTGGTAAGGGAGGGCTTGGAGTTGTTCAGGATTAGGAGTCCAGTATGGCTGCCTCGGCATGAGTAGCTAAATTCTTTTGTCATCATCACTGGTTACAATCATTAATATCATCAGCATTAGAATTTTCGAACGTTTCTGATTTCGTAAGTGCTTGAAGCATTCTATTCTCAGGTTTTTCTCAGCTGAAGCCGGGTAATGGCCCCGGTGTTACAAACTGATGTATGTTCATATGGGACGCTGGGCCCGGTTCCCAGCACGTGCTGCTCCCCACGAATAGACTGGAGCCTTAAAAAAAGGGCCCGCTTCCCAGCAGGTGCTGCTCACCACCAATAGATGGAGCCTCCCCCGGACCAGCTTGAGGTGTCTGCTCCTACCAGCGCCTCAAGCTGCCTTCGTGGATGTTTTGTGGAAAAAAAAACAAAGAAAAAAAAAAAGAAAAAGAAATTCTTCACCAAATTTAGAATAAAAAATAAACTTGAAAAAAAAAATTGTTTTTATTATTTTTTTATTTTTTTGGCCCGGCCAGGCAAGTAACCCTGGGCCACTCTGGTAGCCTAGTTTTAAACAAAAAACAAACTTTCATTAAGACCAGGAAGTGGGCCCGGCGTCCCTCGCATGAATGCTGCAATCGAACGGGGCTGAGAGAGGCACTCCCGGCCGGTCCCATCCCCAACCACAGTCCTCCAACCAGTGAGACCCCGGTCCTCCCCGTACCACATCGTCCTATAATAGCAACCCTATCCTATCTACATATCCGGACACAACACAAGTGAACTGCTCAAAGCAGCCTTCAATATACTGTGGTAAAATACAGCCCCTCGCCTAACTTATTGTGTATCCACTGATGTGAACTCTCTTTATACTTATTCATACAGTTATTACTGTGGTAAAATACAACCCTCTCCTATATTATCGTGTATCCACTGATGTGAACTATCCGTATTCTTCTTCATACACTTCTTCCCACCCTACCCACTAACAAATATGTACACAAGTTCTAAAGTTCATGTTTGCTCCATA